ATAAATAAAATACTGTCTACTACATCTGGAAGTAGGTTTCATTTTTAGGTGAATTGTTTTAAAGCCTGCCAATACTGAAGAGTCAACATGGGTGATCATTACTATCATTTTGTGAAAGTAGTTATTTTTCTTGATTTGTAATTCTTCCTGCATCTGGTTGAATCTTCTATGCTGAAGATGAGTAATCATAGGGAAAAATAGTGTCATTATAAATTCTAAACCACAAAATTCTTCAAATGCTACTTATGTAAAAAGGACCAATTTAAATCAAATCATTAGCTTCTGCTTAGATGTTCAATTAGAAGTGTAATAATATAAATGTTTTATGTATTCACAGCTCTTGTCTTCAAATTTAACCTTTCTTCCATTTCTGCTGTTATTTCTCCCTTTCATAAATGTTGGTGTAATTAAGCCCATTTTCTCTTTAGAGGTGAATATACAATCACAGTTAAAAATTCCTCAGTATGTTTTAAAGCCTGAAACTTGTAATACTCAATCTCACAGCTAATAGCTACCATGACATGTTTTATAATTGCTCTGTAAATCAGAGACTGCTGCATTTAAAGTGTAATTTTAGGCTGTTTTGCAATATTCCTTGACACTTTTGAAATATATCAGGATGGAAAACGCATGATCTAGCTAGGTACAACCACAGATGAAGGAAAATAGTCTTCTCCAGTTACTGGAGTGCTCCAAAAGAGATGCTCAAGAGCAGCAACATGTGTGTCCCTGATGGGATACCTAGGCTGCCTCAGTGACCTCAATGAGGCTCGTTGTCTTGAGCGTGTGTTGCTATCCAGCAATCAAGAGGAGGGGGAAAAATCAACCCGTGGCACAAGCTTGCAGAATAAGCAACCCATTACTCTGTGGCTTTTGTAAAGGGATTTATTGTTGAAATCATTCCAGGGTGATTATGGCTGGGAGGGACTAAGCCCAGAGCAGGTGAGCAAACGTCTGCAGTGAAAGTGGGAGGAATGATTCTCACACAGCATCTCCCAGTACCTTTCTCAAGTCTTCTGCAGTTGCTGACAGGTAAATGATGGAAACCAACAAAATTAGGTGATTTTTTTTCTCCCAACACTTTCTTTTCTTTCAAGAATGTTGCTTTATTATTCATTCTGGTTTTACTGTATATGTTTTAGGTGTTACTTGAGCCCTTCTTGTGCATACAAAAGTTTGTAATGGAGTCTTTGAAAATTTCCTAGGGGTTCCAAATCCTGGAGTAATAGTTTAGATGCAGAGAGGCTCTTTTATCCCTTAGTTAATGGTTAAGCTTGTTGTCTACTATATCTTAGTACCATATCTCCACACTGGACCACCTCTGCAGCCTCGCTGGGACCGAATATGGCCTGATATCTGGGCTTGCTCTGAAATGATCAGGAGGATGATTTTTCTGGGTACCTTTCCATGTACAATGCAGCAGCCCAGCACAGTGACTAATGCCTCATTTGCACCACTGGAGTTCCACTGGTAATTAATTAAAATTTCCACATCCCTCACATGTGCTCTTACTAATTTGTTTTCCACTAATCAAACTCTGAATTTATGCTAGTCAAGTTTTATCATCTCCCCAAATAGCGCAAGTCTTATGATGACATCTGGCTACATTTTGGCCATGTAATATAGACATCGTGGCTGCTCCTTGATTAAGAGAGCAATGTGTGCTACAGGCTGCCACAAGCTGCCAAAAACATCACCAAGGAGAAGTTATGGCAAAGTCTATGCACATAAGGAAAATCTGTGTGATCTCCCACACCCACTGCTATTATTCATACTGGAAGTCATGCCAAATAGGAACCTTACAGCCACCTGCTACTAGTCCAGGTAACCTTATTTCTTCAGAAAATAGAGTAGGAAGCTACAGTGAGATGAAGAAAATCTTTGGGAACGTGTCTGTGAGGCATCCCAGGGAGGAGTGGTGGTACCCCGGGGTGTAGAGATGGTTTACAGGTTACTGAGGCTGGCTGTGTCACCTTCCTCTACATCTCCTCCTCCTGAACTGTGAACCTGAGGCAGCCTAGTATGGTGTAGCCCCTTCCACTGCCAGTATCTGAGTGCTGACACCAGTAAAACAGGTAAAGGCTATAGTGTTGGTGAGAGCTAAAATTTACACTGGATCAACAGGAATTTCATGGAACTGCGGTGTCTTCCTACTTTGTTATAGATCAGGCCTCTTCACACTACTCCATAAATGATGTTGAAACTGCAATAATCATTCAGCAACATGACCTTTGATTTCAAACATGCTTTTGCTACTAGTGGAGCAGCTTGAACCATGTTCATAGTATGCTTCTATGGAAATGATTAATCTTTCTTGAATGCAATCCTACGGGAATATCCCAGTTATACCTGGTATCTCTATCTTAGAGATCATTTAAGCAAACAGGTATCTACATTATAAGTTTAAATGAACACTGAGGTCTTGCCTTTTGGAATAGCACTGCTAATTTAGTAAAGCAAGAAGGACAGTGTAATGTTGACCTGGTGCATTGACTTGTAGCAACCTTTACCAGAATATGGCTGGGCACTTTCAAGATTTGCTGTGGGGAAATTGAAAAAAGGAAACAAAAGTGATGTTAACTTCTCAGAGATTGCACTGCCATTGTCACTAGTTGTGCAAGTAGGTGAATAAGAGAACTTCTATAGGCTAGAAATTTCTAGAATGATACATTTCATAGTGCAATCATTGATTATTACATTTGCTGTGTGTTATTGCTGTCTGGTTCAACAACCGTTGTTGGGATGAATGTGGAAGGTAGGCTTGAGGAAAAAGAGGCACAGGAGACTATAACAATAGTGGTCCAGAATTACAGGATCCCAAGATTTATGGCTGTAGGGCTGATAACAGGATTTTGATCAAACCACCTATTAGAGACCATTTGCTAAGATTCTCACATTTTTACTGTACTTAAAATATCCCAATAGAGGGAAAAGGAGCAGGTCCTGCACTTAAAAGTTGTTTCCAGATCCCCAGCAACATCAGAATCTCTGTAAACAGAACATATTGTCACCTGCCTCCTGTTTTCTCATCTTAGCACAGGCCATGAACAAAGTTACTTAAAACTGGCATAGAGAAAAGGAAGCCTGGACTCTGTATTTTGTCTTAACTTTTTGTATGTCTTTAGAACAAAAGGAGCATAAGGCTAGGACCAAAATTGCTTTCAATTGCAAACATACGGCTTGCAGGTGTGGGCAGAGTTTAGCCTAAAATAACTAGAGGAAAAAGAAGGAAAAAAGCAGTTTGAAAATGTGATGTCAGCAGGCGAAAATAGACTCTGTGGGGCACTGGTTTTCTGAAGTCTTGTTCTGTAATCAACACAGCTCATTACTGTAGATGCACACGATGCTGCAAATGGCATTTGGATGAACATATTTTGTCTTTCCACCGTGCTCACTAGTTATCAAATTGTCTGCCCAAATTGCTGGACCATGCGTATTGTGTCAAAGAAGAGGAAAGCAGCAGGTTCCCTTTGTCAGGGTGGACAGCCCGTACCAAAATCTCAGTCACTGATTTTCAGCCTTCTTCTGTTTAGACCCCTAGGAATTCTCCTGTGGAGGTATAGGACTTTGTATAGATGCTTCTTCCTCCTGCAGTGATAATCGTATTGCTTTCTTTCCCCCCACAGTCTACAGTGCACACCTGACTCCGAAATCTGCAGACCACAGTTTGGAAATTGGTCTCCCAAGGAATTATACACATTTACAGTTTCACTTCATTCTTTTTTTAACCCAAAGTCACTTTTTCTAATATCTCAGTTCAGTCCTTAAATAGCATTATTATTGTAATGCATGGACAATCCATCCTGCAATCAAGGAGGAAGTGACTGCATATCTGAGATCAGCACAGATCACACATCACATTGCAAGGCATATCACAAGTTCTGACTCCCATCTGAATTCACTTTGGCATCTCATCATGGGATTAAAGGCAGCTGGATCTCTGTCTCACTTGAGGAGGAGGAAGAAACAGGCTGGACCAGCTCAGAAGGGAGTCTGCTCAGCATCCATGCTGGTGTCATGGAGGAACTCTGTTTCCAGGGAGAGGTGAGGGGAGGGGACACAGCCTGAACAAGGACCTTGCAGGAGAGGTTAGAACCACTCAAATCAATGCTTAACTTCACATGTAGACCCATGCTGTTCTCTACCTGGAAGAACTCAGGAGTTAAGTCTTCACAAAATTATTTGAAGCAATTCTGAGTAAAGGGCCGAGGTTTCTATCGTAAGTTTTAGACAGTACTTAAGCACGGGAGTGCAAGGTTGCAAGCCCAAGAACACTTGATACTTTGTTGCGTAATCCAGGTTGTTCCCACACTTCAGACAGACATTACTTAGTTACTTCAGAATTGTTCTGTGGCCCCTAGCTATACTCCTCTGGGGGTCTGCTCCATTCCTGAGGGGATGGGCAGAGATTTCTCACAACCTATCGCTGACACATTCATGCTGTTAAAACACCACTTAAGTGCCAAGAGCTGCCTTAATCCAAATTATGGTCTGAAATTCTTAAGGCGTACATTTCCCACGTCTGAATTGTATGTATTGTAGAGACATATAGCAAAAGAAGAAAAAAATTAAACAAACTAACAACAGGGTTTTTTTAAGCTAAAACAGCCTCTCCCATCCTGTAGTCTAGTATTGGGATGATTGGTTTCCCAACCAGTAGAGTTATCCATGGATTATTGTGGTTCCACACACCTCTCCATGCTACCAAATATAAATATTGAATTAATATATTAGTTTCTACCTGGTAATGAAGTATTGCATATATCAATTACACAACATGAGAACATGACTGGCTAAGTCCTATCTCACAAGTCCCCACGGTTTATGGTACAATTAGTCAGAGGAAAGTTGAAAGTGAAGAAAAAAAAAATTCCAGGCAGAGGAGGAAATGGACAAGACAAGTTGAGCAAGAAAAAAGGCCTAATATTTCTTCCCCCACCCCAGAGAGACACATATAAATAATGAGAAAGTGAGTTCCCCTGCTCGCTGATCACAATTTATTTGCTGGGTCTCTCTGGGACTTGCACCATCCCTACAAGATGTGGGCAAAGGTACTGTCTTATTTCTTTGCACTGTAAGATGCACTTCTCTGTTTAAGCTTTTGTATCCTCACTCTGTGTATTTCAGTAGGTGTATATCACAGTACGGGATATGTGGTTCACATACTTTAAACTGCTTGTAACTGCTTCCTCAAGATAATCTTAATGCTTTAGTACAAGGCTGAGTGAGAACTTGCCTGTATTAACCGGTACAATTCTGGTCACCATTGCTAGAAAAAGAGGAATCCAATGTGAACAACGCAATGAAAACATATGAGCATAGTAGGGTTGAATTTGTATTATAAAGGAGAGAACAGCTGTTTGGTTTGTTTAACTTAGCAAAATGAAGGTCAAAAGGAAATACCATAACTCTTTGTGGATATGTGCAGGGGAGTAAAGAAAGGGGAAGGATGAGGGGAAATGGAAGGGGACAATTTCCAAAGAGAGAGAAGATATATATTCAGTAATGCCAGTATAAGAAAGAAATTGTGTGTATAGACTGGTTGTAAATAACGTATACCTCTACAGGGGGACATTTCTAATAGTCCGAGAAGGGAAGTGCTAGATTACTTTCTAATGTAGATACTAACAACAGCTCACAGCTCCAGCCAAGAAGCAGGTTGAATTTGCCTAATAGGTCAATGCTCAATAGGAGAGGGAAATAAATATATATAATTCCCAGATCAGCATGATCCAGGAACAAGGAGCCACTGCTCTTCAAAGAGGCAAGATCTTGCCTTGGAGAAAAGCTTGGACTCCAGCTGAGAGTGAACTCAATGCGAGCTGGAAGCTATGAGCAACATGTGCAAGGTAGGGCTGCCAAGTCCTGCCTCCCACTGAGCTCCAAGCTCAGCAAGATTTGGGATAGTAATGCTGCTAATCAGGGAGATGAAATCTTGCCTTCTTATGTAGTAGTGGTTGCACTGGCTTGAAATGCCATTTTCCCACTGATTTCAGTAGCAATAAGAAGGGGCTATGGAAAGATAGATGGTTTTTACTTCTATTTGTTTTATATGTGTGTGCATGAATAGTCATTAGAGATAGAGATAGACAGAAAGAGATAATCTTGCAAAGTTATAGCACCTGCAGTACATACTCTCAAGGATTCAAGTCAGTGAGAAAGCAGACGAAATACAGAACAGAAAGGGATGATGATGAAAGGATAAACAAAGTATAAATAACACAGTGGCATTTCTGGGAATAAAAAGAGGAAGAATTCAAACTTTAGTTATGCTGATGCAATTCATGTAAGCAGAAGCAGGGCAACAAAAATGCCCAGCATACTAAGCAGTAGCCCAAAACTGAAAGCAAAAAAAGAGGAAAGAAAAAAAAGTAAAGTTTACTTTAAATATAGATAAATATCTACTTCTTCTTTTTCTTTATTTTTTCCCTTCCTAGACAATTACGGGAAATTTTGCCAATGTGATTCATGGTTTGAATGCAAATCATTTGACAGACCAAGTAATGGAGAGAAGCAAGCGAATGATTTTGGATACTCTTGGAGTGGGGCTTCTGGGTACCAGCACTGAGGTCTGCCACAAAGTGACACAGTACAGTAAGGTAAACTATCTGGCATTTATAGCATACTCTAAGGTTTAGCTTTGAGAAAAACAAGGGAAAATTTGGGCTATAAAAGGGAAACTTCGCCGTGGCGAAATTCTTCTCTGGATGGAAGGAGAGAGATGGTGTTCTTTCCACAGGAGACAGGGAAACTTCAGTGCTCAAGTTACTTTTCACTCTGGATGGGCAACTGTTTGTGTATCAGTCTGTATCCTAAGATCCCCCTCTGCAAACACAGTGAATTAAGAATCCCTTCCTTTCTTTCACCTATGAGATTTTATTAAAAACATCTGCAAAGTAAACACTACTTATCACCAGCCTTTCAAATTAAGGGACAGTTAAAGGGATGGAGAATTAATAGTGGGTTACTTACAGTCCATAAAACATAATTGTTGTCTAAGGTATATTAGCCATGTTTCTCCTCTAGTCTTGCTCTCCTTAAACTAGAGGATTACCTGACCCTGAGGAAAAGCCCTTCCAACACAGGAGTGCATCAATGAGGAGGAGTTTAGCCCACTATTTTATTGCTCAGACCTGCCTAGTTGGCCTCATGCTCCAGAGCTCTGTGTGCTGATAGGTCTCTTCCCACAGAGAACACTCCTTTCCAAATCATGGTAGTTTATGTCCTTTGATTCATTTTGCAGCACCAGGAGGCCATCTATTGTTTACTCAGGGTCTCACTAAAACACAGAAAACCAAAACCTTTAACTGGACATCTTGCCTGACAAGATGATGACAGTCCTGTCATTTAGGTTGGACTTGATGATCTCAGAGGTCTTTTCCAACCTAATTGATTCTGTGATTCTGAGGGAACTGTTGATGGGTGGTGAGAAGAGATATGAATGGCCAGAGGTTTTGTGAAGGTACTGAGTGGCCAAGTGGATGGTGTTAGTCTGCCCCCGATCTCTGTTTGAGTGGAATAGGACACAAGACAACAGGAAACTGAGTTTATTGTCATACCTTCTGAAAGAACATAATTTTTCACATAAAAAGGAGCAGTTAGGTCCCAAGAGGGTATGGTCTGATCTCTGTTATATCAGAGATACAGCACACATTTGTTCTTAGGTTCAGGACTTTGAATTAATTGATGTCAATTTGTTTCAGATCTACAGCTCAGATTTATCCAGTACCATCTGGGGCCGCTTGGATTTCCGACTGCCTCCTCTGTATGCAGCTTTTGTGAATGGAGTGGCTGTAAGGGATGCTCTTTTATTTGCTCTTAAATCACACTAATTAATGCCATTCTTGCTTTAGAGAGAACAGAATGTTCTAAAAAGCTTATTCTGAAGCCTGCTACAAAACTTTCCTAGACAGTTCTCCTAATGTGCTTCAACATCCTTCCAATGAGACTGAGCTTAAGCTGTAATATATATCTGATCCAACTCAACAGCGTACTGTACCTTTAATGTGGGATCTGGGACTGTTTTCAAAGGTCAGAACTCTACAGCTTGTTACAGCCTTGCTACAGGTGCTTAGAAAGAGACACTCTAGATGTCACTGATTTCACTGGGATCCAAATTTCATGCCAACTGGCAAAGCGTATCTACAGAAAAACACAGACAGATGCACATGTAGATACACACACATATACCATCACAAGGCAATTTAATCTTCAGTTACCCATTTTGCAAAAGCCAATTATATATTTTGGACACATACTTTGTCATTAAAGCAATAACTGACTCCCCAGACATTTGTCTAAATTCAGATTGAGGCTGAAACCATTTGAAATTGAAAGATGCATAAGAGGTGAGGTAGACAAATTTGGCAATTATGCAAAACTAGAGAAGGTGACCAACCAAGGAAATGGTACTATTAAGCCTATTTAAATTAGTGTGACAACAAAATCAGAGGTCCAATTTAAAAGCTCATTTCCAATGTAGAGAAAATTATGTTGGAAATGAGATCTGGTACCTCTCAGCTCATAGCAGCCCTTGTGATATTCAAATCTGGCCGTTAGCAGGTATATGATCATTTCAGTTTACATCTCGGTCACAGGTCAATTATAAGCACTTACTGAAGACATCAGAAACACAGCTTACTGGATATTGGACACAACTTTCCTTATCCTGCACTGCAGGGCATCTTCCCAGATGGCATCAAAGTTTTTTGAGGCAGACTGGGTTTTCTTCTATCTGTTCAGAAACACAGTCCTCATAAGTGCATATTTCCAGTATTACAGGGCAAAACCTGAGCACTGGGGAGCCTGAGCACCTTTCCAGTTTGCTCTGAAGTAACACATAGGTGAATAGATGTGAAGGTCAATTTTTTGAGTATTATTGTGTTATTAGAAATGCTGTCCCTGAGGATCCTCTCAGGTCCTCAAGGATTCTCAAAACTTTGTGGGGGAGGGAACATGCCTGATAAGCAGTACATTACAAACACTGACTGCACTGCATTGCTGTCTGGAGCTGTCTGCTACCAGAACAGAAGCCATATGCCATGCTGGGAATGCCCAACATCTTCATGAGCAGTTGGGCTCTGGGCAGAGTTAAGAGAAGCACCACTTTGGATACTTTCTCAGGCTAAGTAGCTCATCCCAGTATTAAGACTGTAGCTTTCTTCTACTCCTAGCAATTCAAGGGAGTCTGGTTCCTTATGTGACAAGTCTTGTTTTGATGTGCTGAAAATTCACGCTAAAGCCTCCTGCACGTTTGCAGGCTTGGAGATAATTGCACTGGAGAAGTAGTTCTGATAATAAAACTTTCATTGAGCAGTATGGATTTGACTGCTATAGCTGTATGGTGTGAGTCCTAAAGGCAGCATCAGAATGGAGCACTGGGGAAGTAACTTCATTTGTTTATATTTCATTATGTTTTGGGTGAAGTGCAAATTCACCATTCACATAGTGGACCTAGAACAGCTACTTTAATTATACAGGTCTAATAAAAGCAGCAAAAACCAATTGCAGGAAAAAAGAATCACTGTCATACTGGTTTTAGGCTGGTGCAACTTGAATTAGAATTATACTCCTTGCAGACAAGATTTTTATTGCATTATCACTTCTCAGGAAGCCATGTTTGGAGTAAAGGTCTAAAAGACTTTTGAAGGTTTGCTTTCTAAGGAAAATCGTGTTCTTTTTTATACCAATTACAGTAGTTTCATTTGACTGAGCCAAGTCAGACTTTATTCCTAATGAGAAAACAATGCTTCTCTTTCCATTAGGTGCACTCAATGGATTTTGATGACACCTGGCATCCAGCCACACACCCATCCGGGGCTGTGCTCCCTGCTGTGATTGCACTCTCAGAGGCCTTTCCTCAGAAGAAAAAAATCTCAGGTCTTGATCTGCTCTTAGCTTTCAATGTGGGAATTGAAGTGCAAGGTCGGCTGCTGCGCTTCTCCAGTGAAGCCAGGAATATTCCAAAAAGGTACATAGAAATGCTTCAAGTAGAAAGCTGAGCGGAATTTTTTTTTCTCAATGTTAATATACTTAATTACATGTCAGTTAAAATACAGATGGCACAGTTATTCATATTTTCTATGCTGTTTGTCTGGAAATTTAGGAAGGGGTCATCTTAAATGTAAATACACTTACTTGACTCCTTATGGTTTAGTTAATTTCTCTTTGAAAGCATTGACCAATTCACAAGAAGGAGGTGATGATCTTCCTACTTATAAAAAAGAGCAGCAAAAGGGCAACATTTAACATTAGAAATCTCAGGAGTTCATTAATACATACAATCATGCCTCACTTTCAAACAGCAGCTTGCTCTCAGCAGAAAGGAGTCACCATTTTGGGCTCAGAGCAGAGCCCAAGAAGATGGGGTAAAAGCCTTGAAGTGTGCGATGGTCTAGTTGTCTTCTTGATATTTTCTGGGTGTTCTTTCTATCAATTTTGCAAAACTAGTTCAGAATAACAAAACTTACCTCCCCTGATATGTGTAATTCAGAGATGACTAAATTATTATAGATTTATAATAATACATAAATTTAAATTATTATAATAAATATTATATTAAATACAAATTTATATGTGAGTTTAAATTTATTTAGAATAATTTATACATGAATATAAACTGTGATGCTTTTGCCGTTGTTCTGCTCAGTATGCTTTGAACCATGAACAGTTCTAACATTTCAGCTGTTTTCTGGGAAGGACCTATTACAAGTGGTACTATTCCAGTTTAACTTATTCCTGAGGGAAAGTGACAACTTTCCGCACATGAATTAGGTCCGCACATGAATTCTGAATGTATGTTTCGTTATGGTCCAATCTGTCTTCCACAGCCATGAATAGAAAGCTTGTGTATACAGTGAATTCAGGTTAATTTTTGAAATACAGTCATGAAGATATTTTTGTTTTCGCAGGTTTCACCCACCGACTGTGGTTGGTACAATGGGGAGTGCAGCAGCTTGTGCTAAAATGCTAGCTCTTGACCAGCTGGGATGTAAAAATACCTTGGCCATCGCTGCCTCCTATGCAGGTGCCCCACTGGCTAATGCAGCAACCCAAACAAAGCCCCTTCACGTTGGCAATGCTGCCAAGCATGGACTGGAAGCAGCTTGCTTAGCTTCACAGGGCCTTCAAGGAAACAAACAGATCTTGGACATGAAGTCAGGGATAGGTGCCTTTTATACAGATTATAACCCACAGACTCTGCCAACCTTGCAGTCCTATCCCTGGCTGTTGGACCAGCAAGATGTGGCCATCAAACGCTTTCCTGCTCATCTTGGAACACACTGGGTGGCTGATGCAGCATCTTCTGTTAGGCAGAAGCTTGTGGAGAGCAGTGGCAACTTGTTCCCTCTTGATAAAATTGAGAAAGTAATTCTCAAAGTCCCAGAGGTCAAATATGTGAACAGACCCAGCCCAGCCTCAGAACATGAAGCACGACACTCCTTCCAGTTTGTTGCATGCTCTGCTTTGCTGGATGGCAGCGTATCAGTCCAGTCCTTCACCAATGAGAATATTCACCGGCCAGCCCTGCAGGAGCTCCTCCATAAAACAGAGCTGGAGCACCCTCCTGATAACACACCCAGTTTTGAGAGTCTTTACTGCGAAGTGAGTGTCACACTTCGGGATGGCAACATGATCAGTGACCGCTGCGATACGTTCTACGGACACTGGAGGAAACCTCTGAAAAAGCAGGACTTGGAGAAAAAGTTTCAATCCAATGCCCTCAGCATCCTGCCCGCAGAAGCCACAGAAGGCATTATAGAGACTGTGTACAACCTGGAAAAAGTAGAGGACTGTTCTGTGTTAGGTACCTTTCTATCAGGACAGTCAGCTAGAGAGCTTTCACAGAAGCTGCACTTTTGAATGTTCCAGCTGACAGCTAGATGCTGTTCACAAAGGAAACAAAATTCAGGGCAAACTCTTGTTTAGGGACTCAAGCACTTTTAAATAAGAGTCCTCTAACACAAGAACCATGTTCAGTCCAGTATCATAGCTTTTCACTAAGTAAATAATTTACTGCGTATGTGCAGAGCTCAGTCAGGCTGAACAGAGGATCCTCTGCTGGCACAGCTGACTTCAGCTATCTTTGTTCCTCTGGAGGCAGAGCACTCACTGCTTGTGCACGACACAAAAATTTCCCTCCTCTTCTGCCAAAAATCTGTGTTCTGCTTCTCCTAAATAACTCCATACAGGAAATCCAAATTCTGGAGGAGTATGGAAATGCTGTGTCTGTGAAAATCATCACTGTCAGAAGGACAGGGAATAATAAAGCCTTTATATATATAATTTATTTCTGTAGATTTATCTCTACAGCCTCCTTGAAGAGGCCACCTGTTACAGCTGAGCTTTGATATTTGTGCTAAAATAAGCACAGCACAGAGTAGTAGCACTTGATACTCTGCAACATGTCAGGCTCTGCTGTAATGATTGGCCTTGCACTGATGGGCTAAAGGCCAGTGCTCGTCCTGATCACACCAGCTGCTGAGCTACAGGGACAACTCAACACTCCTCGTCATAGAAGCGTTATTTCCCAGTTCCATCTTTTAGCTGCTCTGTGGTACAGATCTGTTCCTGTTTTATTCCCACTCCAGTTACAAGGCACTTGCTCAACATGACACAATTAGCACATGATGACAGTTTAGAATCCTTCAGGCATGGCAAAGCTTAGGCTGCAGTACACTTGGCATGAGTGACAGAGACCTGTGAGCTTCAGAACACTTTTTTTGCGAGGCAATTAAGTGTCCACAGCAAAAATCAATACAACCTGATAATGAATTCTGGGAATTTTTTGTTCCTTCAGGAGTATAAAGCCTTGACAAATTGTGCCTCTAAGAGAAGCTGACAACCTTTGTTCACATTTGTAAGATCAAAGCATGTGTTCTAACATATATAAAATCTTCCTCAGGGTACTAAACTATGTATGCAAAAAAATCATGAAATAAAGCTAATTCATTTTACTAATTAAATCTCAAATGGTTCCATTTATTAGAGCAAAACTTGTCTATTTTCCACATACAATGCTTTCATTTGTGCTGGATCTTGGTTTATTAAGTTGGTTTACCTAGGGGCTCTGCAAAAACTTCAGAAGTCCATTTCTTATACTTGCTTAGACTTACCAGGGAAGAAAAATACCCAAATAACCACATACTTTCCCCCTTCTGATTATAAAGTAGACTCGATTTACTCATCTATACTGCAAATAAACAGACTCATTTGCAGCTATTTCACCTGTAATTACAGCTGGGTAACGGCAAATGTGAACTACTGACAATCATTAGTGATGTGATAAAAACCCACTGCACTATCTTTTCAAGACTGAACACATCTGGATTTATGAGGAAAAAAATCACCTTCAACACACGGCTTCTACTTAAGAAGAGAAATAGATAAATTTAGAAATAACCATTTGATGTATTAAAGAGTAAAAAAAAAAACCAACAAAACAAAAAACAACCACACCAAACAAATCAAGAATTGTGAAGTTCAGCAGTTACACTGTTTTATTAATACAATCAAAAGAAGCTAAATGCTTATGCTTAGCTACACTGATTTCCTTGCAGAAGTCTGTATGCTTCCAGTCAGGCAAGTTTCAGGACTTCTTGTACCATTGTTCCAATTCCATCAAAGATTTCATGCAGAGGAGCCTTGCACATGAAAGCACAGGTAGTAACTATTTTATTGGCTTTATCCACATGAGATTCATTTACATTTTTGCAAATGTGCTTACATCCAAGCTCTGCTATAGCAGAGGCCGTTTCAGCATCAGGAAATCTGTAAATAAAAAGACTTCAATTAACATAAAGAGATGATACAACCATAAAATTCTGCCAACGTAACTAGAATGAGAGAACTACAATAATATCTAAGAGACTTTTTATGTGATGATCACATGGGAGTTAAAGGGGCTGCTACTGTCAGGTTTTCCCACCCCTTCTGGATGCACTAAGTGATCTGATACCTTTGAAAACAAGGTCTGAAATGCAGAGCCATGGTATGTCAGAAGGTACAATTCTGGTTTTAACCATCTTTCAGTAAGTTTATAAAATTATACCAAGTGCAACCATAACTGATCCTCAAAGGTTTGAGAGAAGCCAGGTGAACCTGCAGACATATTACATCTTTTCCAACACCTCCATGCAAAGTTATCCTCTGGGATTATGCAGAGGAATTTTGATTTTTTGTTTTCTGAGGATAAGGGAGAAACAGATACAACCACTCACTGGTTTGCTGCTGGCAAACTTAGTGCAGAAGTTTTATCAGGAGTTGACAGTCCTTTAAGCAGCACTGACTTCTGCCAGGCCCTGTTCTCATCTGCCTCCCCTAAACTGGCCCCAAACCACTATGACCGGAAAAACTTTTATTAAAAATCCATGAGCAGACAAAAGCCCACAGAAGCAATTTAAACAGCCACTCAAATTACCACAGGGTACCAAGTTTCTGAATGCCAGCTGGCCAAATGCCTGTCCTTCATTTGCACATTTGCAAGATAAATCACAGCCTTCAAAGGCATCGGGTAAGCAAATTCTGTATTTCGCCTAAGATGAGCTAAAATCTATCCCTCAATTGCCATGAATGGAACGAGAAAAAATAACTTGATATCCCTGGTCACCTGCATGTTTGCACAGCTATGATCCTGTAAAAGCCACTTGTTCTCTCTTTTAAGACTGGCAGATGCTACACCCAGTGACTCATCAGCCATCGCATTACACAATAAAGAGACTTTTGCACAGAAGACTGCCAGTATCCTAATTCCCATGTAAATCATCTCCTTCCATTTCCTTCTTACCTTCCATCTACATTTTTATCTTGGCCGACCGTAACCTCACAACCAGGAAAGACTTTAGCTGCCAGAACTGGTGATATACAGCACAAACCAATGGGCTTTTTAGCACTGTGGAAAGCTTGGAGTGTGGAGTTCACATGCTCATTGACAGTACAGTTCTTGCCATCTACAGCCCAGGAACACAGGTTCTTTGCTACACCAAAACCACCTAAAAAAAAACCAGACAAAAAGCTCAAAAGTAAGGCACTGCTAAAAGCCATTAAATTCAATACCAGACAGAAGCTCTTTTTTACAACATAATATTTTACAACATAATCTAGGACTGTTAAGTTACTGTGCCAAAAGCCTAACGATGTAACTGTAACCTGTAAATGGTGGGTTTACAATGTTAAAAGTTTAATGGCACACTTTTTTATACCATGTAGCTTATATATATATATATATATATATATATATATATATGCCAGAAAGCTTAATCTTGTTTCAATAAGTGGCAAATAGACAAACAGGAAACAGTCCCATTCATCTGCTAGTCACTAGAACAGCTGCACCATCTGTTATGCACCCCTCAATAAGAGAGGGATCAGAAGAAAGACCAATACTAGTTAAAAGCAGAAATATGCAATTCAGAGGAGTAATGCAAACAGTGATTTGACCCTGTACAGTAATCAACGCTCAAGTTTTAGTTTGATACTTAAGCAATTATAGGAGAGCATTTCTCCTTCCCTAGAATTATTTTTGGACTTAAAACCAAAGAGATTAACACTACAAAAATGAAGAAGATTTTACATAAAGAGGAAATTATAACATGATATTCTGAGACAAAAAACTTGTGAATGATGCCAACATTCCTTATTAAAAATAGTGCTGTTTTGTCTTTCTAGAAACTAGTTATAACAAACCTTTACTTACACTTAATCTTCATTTAATTGTACAAACAGATTGTATTTTATATCCCCTTTGTTTGCTAGATTTATAACCATCAGAATAATCCAAGTAAGGTTATTAGTAAGTTTTTACACTTGATTCTTTATGGAATGTTTATGTATTTTCTACAATAAACATACAGAGATTTTCACAAGTATTTTAATGGACAACATAAAGAAGCTTTGCATTTTTAATATTTTTCCTTTCCCAGTTTGCTCACTTTCAAGTGTGATCTGAAATCTCTGAGGTAAGATTTTAATTTTCAAGCTTAACAGAGTTTATTTCCCTGTAACAGTTATTACAGCAACCCCCAGAGTCTGGGTTATAAGAGCATGAAATTAACGTGGAAAACACCTGTGAGCCTCTCCTCCTGCCCTGATCAGCCCTGGTATCAGACACACAGTTTTAGTGCTGGCAGAATGTTTCTCTGCGTTATACACGCGCCCCCTCTGCTGGCCTTACTTTAACATTTAGGGCCAAACACGAAGGCAGTATTTAACAGTACTATGAATATTCTCAAAAGTGATCTTCAGCAACTCATAATTTCCTCATGACGCTCTGGTTTCTTCATTTCTAAAAGTGATTACAATTACCTCTGTCTGGAAGGCAATTTTGTGGTCTCTAAATAAAAAATTATCCATAGACATGCTTAGTATAACTTGATCAGCTGCAGAGAAGATACGTGATTAAAACAGAATCTACTCACATCTGAGAGGGAATACAATTTATCTGGCGACCTGCTATTCTGTCAACCATTTCAGAGGCCCTAAAATTAAGGCACTGCCATGTAACACCAAGTTCTGACCCTATTTTTGTACTCTGGTCAGTGTTCCAGTTAGCAAGCAGCTAACTGAAGTTTTCACAATCTTTAGAACAAAGGAATGGTGTGATGCTTAACTTGATACCAAAAGAACACTCTGGCTTGCACTAACTTGTAAGTTAGTGAACTTAATGACTTAATAATTAATAAATATATTGAGTACCTACCAGGGAAAATGACTGCATCAAATTCAGCAGCTTTCAGTTCAGCCAAATCCTGAATGTTTCCTCTTGCCAACCTGGCACTTTCAACTAACACATTTCTCTTCTCTTCTGTTGGACTTCCTTTTAGGTGATTGACTACATCTCTTTGCTCAGTATTGGGGGCAAATATCTTCACCTAGTCAAGAGATAAAACATTTTGTGAATGTAAACAAAACCGATAGATATTGGTCACAATAAAGATCATTTAATGGAAACAGTTTCTGTCCCTGAAGTCTCTTATCCAAGTTAAGTGGATTCCACAGCATGGATCTATCACACATTAAGTATCTAAAGGGACATATTAGGATGGGTAAACACAGCCATTCTCCTCATCCTATTCCTGCAGCATTTTGACAGGAGTGCATTCTTACACCAACATTAAGCTTACTGATTTTGCCATGGCCTGACTCTCCTCTGCAGATAACCCCAAGGACAAACAGAACGCTACAATTTATACCAGCAGACTGACTGCACACAGCTGACTCTGAAGAAAGGCTGCTCTTAACTGCTATGGGATAAGAGTGCTAAAAAAGTTTGACATAAAAAAATTAAAGATGCAAAC